GGGCTCCTGTGGGGAGAGGAGGGTATACTGAACAGAATGAGTAGAAGGGAGTTTGGTGGTGGGATGGCATTGGAACTTTGGTGGTGGGGGTGGGGAATCCTATACACATATTTAGCTGTTAATCTCTGCCTTTGAGAGTCTATAATATTGTAAAGTACTGAAGATAAAAAGGGGAAATTAAAATTTTAGACTTTCTGGTCAGTGAAACATCAGAAACTTTCTAACTTATCCTTTAAAAAAAAACCTTTTTAGAATGGGTTTTCCCAGCAGTGTTTGGGACCCAGGACCAAAATTCATCCCAACAGAACAATGTTTCAGTGCTAGTTCACTAGTTCTGATGATGCTGGGGTCCACCCAGGTCACAGCACTGGTGCCCAGGTGTTCATTTAGTGGCTGGTACCTAACTCAGGCCTCATACATGCCAGGTCGGCACTCCAGTCCTCTAAGCCATATCTCTACTCCCAAGTGCTTCTATTTTTTGAGTCATTGAATTTCAATTGATAATATGTCCTAAGAAGTCATGCTAATTTGACACCTTGGCCTCTATTGAAAGGGAAATTAGGGTCACTTAAACCTTACCACAAGTCATTGCAAATAGAATTCTCACTGGGCAGTTTTCCTATAAAATATTGAACGGGGCAACACGTGTTTCTTGGGAACTGGAAGAGAGATAAACAATGCGTGGTTTCATCGGTATATCTCATAACAGAGTGTGATCTCTGAGGTTGTTACAGGTGCCCCCGCTCCCTGGGAGAATTACTGTAATGAAAGGATATCCCCTCCATCGGAAATACTTTGCAAGACTAAACATAACAAGCATTCAGTTCACAGGTCTAGAACATATTTCACAGCGTTTTAGTGACAAACTCTTGAAGGAAATGACTGGAAACTGCAGACACTGAAGACTATTCTCTCAAACATTCCACTTCTCTTTCTGAACATGAGCCAGGCTTTCCAAATGGGACTTTAGATCCAGGGAGGTAAAGGTAAAGGCCCTCCCGTTGATCGTCGATTTGCTCGAGTGGGCCCAGTAACGTCTCCATTGGAGACTTTGTTGTTAGTGTGTTTGGCATATCGAATATTCTCAGTAGCTTGCCGGGCTCTCCTAGAGGGGCGGAGGAATTGAACTCGGGTCGGCCATGTTGGCCGCTTGTAAGGCGAACGCCCTACCGCTGTGCTATCGCTCCAGCCCAGATCCAGGGAAAATTTTTAATTTATTATCATGACTATTTTAAACCTGTAGCACCAAGGATCGAATCCAAGGTCTGACATAATTGAGGCATGTGCTATGTTACCCCAGCACCACCCCCAAAAACTACTTGTTGAATTATTTTATATTTTAAAGACTCCGGTAGCAGTGTGAAATAGTTTGAGCTTACTGTTCACAAATTTGTGAGCCAGAGAAGCATGTTTTGTGTTTTGGTCTGTTTGGCAGGAAATGTAGCAACACTACTTACTGGACGGTGGGAGGAAACGCCTGGGAAATTAACTGTCAACTCTCGGTGGTCCCTTTATCACTTCTTTTTCATTGTTTCTGGAGTTAGACCGAGTTTGAATTCTCATTCCATTACCACTGGTTGTGTGACCTCAGAACCATTACTTAACCTCATTGAACCTGTGTTTCTCCAGCTGTGGAAATGAGAATGATCATAATACCTATCCTGCTTTATTGTTCCAGAACTGACACGAGATAAAGCATGTAAGGGCTGTACCTATGTAGCACAATGTCTGGTCCAGAGGAACCATTTAATAAATGTTAGACATTGGCATGAGTTCTAAGAACCAATGTTCAGATTACCACTTGACTCGCCAGCTGTATGGCCCGGGACAGCACACACCTGCCCTTGGGTCTTCGTGTGTTCAGCTGCGGAAAGGGGAGAGAGTGATTGTTACTCCTTTACCCTCCCGGCCACCCAGATCTAAATGTGATTATGTCTACCAGGCACTTAGCCTAGCACTCTGTCACCTTTCAATTTGTGTTCAGGCTCCGAGGCGTCAGGGAGGAAGGGGGACGTGATCGCCAACAGCTCCAGAGAGAAAAGGAGAGAACAGAGCCAAGGTGGCTCTTTGGTGGGGGGGGGGGGGAGTGACATGTCTAAATCGCGTGTGAGGGTCGGAGGATGGCGTGGCATACTTTGTAAATACATGAAGTATTCGTAGCGGTTTAAATAAAGCAAAGCGATGTGATAACTGAGTCATCAGGCCAGGCAGCCAGACGCCAAGGTGTGTGCCCGGGCATCAGTTCATGTGCTATGAGCTGCCACACGAGTTTCCAGCCAACTCTCACCTACCCCATGCAACCCAGGTGGTGAGTCAGGTCTTGACTGGTATTCTCACTCGGTTTGCATTTCACTTGCACATGCGTTTGGACTATTATCCTAAGGATAGACAGTGCATTCGTTTGAGCATCTTAGGTAACTTTCATTTGTTTGTTTTGGGGGCCACACCATGCCGTGCTCAGAGCTTACTCTGGGCTCTGGGCTCAGGGATCACTCCAGGTGGGGCTCAGGGGACCATATGCGGTGCCTGAGATGGGACTGGGTTGGCTACCTGCCAGGCAAGCGTCCTCCTGAGTGTACACTATCACTCTGGCCTGCCATGAGGGTCCTGAGTTAAACACAAGCAAGAAGACAGGAGAGGTAGGGCTGGGGTCTCTGAGACAGGACATCTGGGCTCTGCACTGGTCATCGTGTAGAAAGTGAATGGGGTCGGAGCAGAAGGCCTCTAGGGACCTTTTTTGTTCTCTGTTTGTTTCTGTGTCTAGTTCAGGAGCGGGAGGATCCCCAGGATTCTCTCTCTCTCTCTCTCTCCTCTCTCTCTCTCTCTCTCTCTCTCTCTCTCTCTCTGCTGGCTGCTGACTCTCTAGGGCACGGCTCCATCCCTGCTCCTCCCCGGTCTTGAACATATGCTGTCTTGTGGGAGGACTCTCTGCTCCAGGACCCGGATACCGGTGAGGCTTCCTTTGAGATTCCGGCCCAGGACCCGTCTCCCAGGAAAGCCTGTGGGGAGCTAGTCCCCCCATTTCTGGGGTACCTGCCCAGTCCCTCAGACTCTCTCAGCACCAGCTTTTGTCCATCTTTTAGACCCAGCAACCAACATGGACATGTCTCAGCAGAAATATTTTGTTCTTCAAAGACTCAGGTAGGCCCGTCCTGCTGCTGGGCAAGGGTCTGAGGGAAAAGCAAAGAACAGTGTCCCTGTGCAGAACATAGGAAGAGGACATTCATGGCACGGGTGAGACCCCCAAGCATGGTGGCCTGAGGTGGAGCTGCATGTCAGGTGGAAGGAAGTGCAGTCCATGGTCACCGTGTTTGTTAGGCTTTCAGATCTGTCAGGAACCTGTCCACGGGAACTGACCTGGAAGAAACTGGAGCAATAATGACCACTTGGGAGGGTCCACTGAACACACAGACACCCTACCCCCATCCCCCACACAATTTTGGGATTCTGTTTCTTTCCATGATCGTTTCATTTTTCTCTGGGGTGGTTGGGGGAAGAACTTCCTGGTGAGTAGAAGACCCCAGTCCTTCCCCCAAGAGAGTGTCTGAGGTATCTGCCCTGATCGGACTTGCGTTTTGGGAAGAGTAAGCATCAAAGATGAAACATTTTTAACCTTTTATTCATAAAAACAAATTTGCAACAATTTATTAAAAATCGATACCATGCAATAGGGGTCCGAGAAATTCCTCATTTACATTTGAGTCTGGCAGTTCCAGTCTAATTTAAAGCGTTTGTGCGCTAACATCATTGGAAAAAACACCTTCTGGACGAAGCCTCTTCAGAAATGTTCGGTGTGTTTGCTGCGTATAAAAGAACGGAACCGTTAAACAGCTAGAGTCATTTCTGTCTGTGGGTCTTGTTATTTTGGGGGGAAATTAAAAAAACGGGTGAACCTACAGTATCATCAAGACAGAGAATGTACTTTTGTTGTGTGTGTGTGAACCTAGAAGACTGCATGTTGGAAATCACAACGGGTTACGGACACACACTCACCTTCACGGCCCAATACTTTTGCTTCTTTGTTGTTTGTTTCTGCGATGCGGGGAGAAGAGTTCTACGGGTATTGTCTGTGTGTGTGTGTATGTGTGCGTGTGTGTGTGTTTGTGTGCGCATACGTTATGTACAATGGATTGTCTCTTTCCCTTTGGAAAAAAATAAATGAACATGGTCCTTTAAATGAAATCTGGCCAGGGTGAAATCAAGAGAGCGGGTAAATACTGTCATACACAGTGAGTGACAACACCGGGTTTTAGTGCTTAAACAGAGAATGACTTCAACTTGACCTGTGATGTGTTAATATTTTTTGTTTGTTTGTTTGTTTGTCCCTAAAAGCTACAGAACCTCCGTGACCTCTCTCAAGGGGAGGGGAAGCTACATGAAACCGGGTGTCGTGAAATGTTGGTGAGGGTGAGGTTCCCGGGCCTTTTCATCGAAGCCTGGTGGCGTGAGCAGAGTGGTCCTGCCCCGTGGGGCGGGGAGATTATTGCCTACCAGTGGAAGCTGCCCTTTAGGGTTTCCAGGGAGCGAGCAAGGCTGCTCAGCTGTGCAACGTCCTGGACCTTGCCATTCAGGCTTTTTAATCTTATTTATTAATTTTTTTTTTTTGCAAGAATGAACCTGTCTAGGAATGTCACAGAAATCCTTGGGCACCTCTTCCCAGCCGGGCTGGTCCTGGCAGAGGGCTGTGCTGGGACCTTCTCTGGGCCACAGCCCGGTGGACCGGGGCCAGTCGGTTGTGACAACAGTGTTACCTCACGGGTCAGGGTGGCTTCACGGTTTGGTACGAAGCTTTCCTGGACGAGATCAAGTTTTGACCCTCAGAGTGACCCTGTGAGGTAGGCAGGATGGGTATTATTTCAACCCCAATTTGTGAGAGAGAGGTGGGAGGATGGGGACGGGGAAACTGAGGCTCAGAGAAACACGAGTGACTTGCCCAAGGTCCCAAGTGGCAGGGGGAGGTCTGGGGGTTCGGGGAGGGGAGTCCGTAGTGGAGTGGGGGTGGGGGCTCGAGTCTGTTGGACTCATGGGGTTCCGTGGAAAGGGAAGAGCCTTTACCAAGCGAGCATCCCCCACTGTCCCCCCGGGGGCCTGGGTGGGGAGGGAGGGAAGGAAGGAGCCTCCTGGAAGCCCAGGGGGGCCCTTGGCCCACTCTCTCTCCCACGGTCCCCCCCGGGTGTCTTCTAAGCAGCATGCCCCCCCTATTCACTTTGGTCAGAAACAAAGTCAGTGGGGAAAGGAAACCCCACCACCTGCCAGCCAGCCCTCGGGCCTTTGCGAGGGAGGTTAAAGTGCACAGTCGACCTGTCGGGGTGTGGTGGGGAACAGACATTCCGTGATGAGCTCCAGCGGGCCCCCTTATTACCGGGAGCCCCCAGAGCACACACCAGGATGTGCCCGACGGGAGTGGGTGCCGCAGAGCACGTCTGCAGCCACGCGCCCTAAATCCCCACAGTCCCAGAACGGGTATTATTGTGTTTGTGTGTGGCGTTGCTCAGAGGGGTAGCGGGCGTGGACCCCAGCCCTGGACCGCCCCCCCACTCCGCGCCCTCCTGACTGCAGGAAGCTGGGGTTGGCTGCATGGGCAGCTGTGGGCCTGGTGGCCCTGCCCACCTCCTCTCCCGGAGGGGACAGGGACTGGCCTGGTGGGGGATGGGGGGGCGGCCACAGCCAGGGATGTGTGTGCAGAGGCCGAGACCGTTTTTCTGGAAGCCCCTCGCTTCTGCCCGAGCTGCTCAGGGCCCCTCCGTGACTTCCACTGGACTTCCAGCCACTCTCTCCTTGCCTGGATTTTGTTGTGTGTCTTTTTTTCTTTTTTTTTTTTTTTTGCAAAGTTTTCAAATAGCCCAGCTCAAGTCCTGCTTTGCCGACATCAAGGAAGAAGTCATCTCCATTCCTCTTCTTGGGGAAAGAATAAAAACTTCACAAATAAGGCTCAAGGTCAAGTGCCAAGTGCCCCCCACCCCCGCCCCACTGTCCACCTGAGTGCCCACCGAGCAGTCCGGCAAGGCTGGTCTGGCACCAGCGTCTCAGCAGCCAGAGCCCACAGTGTCGCCGCCGTGCGCGGTTCCGCCCTGGGGAGGCCCGGGCCCCGGGCGCGCCCCCACCTCAGCCCTCACAGGCCCGAGACCATGACTCGGAAGGAGGGGGGCACGTGTCTGTGGCGGGGGCTGCCCGTGGGGCTGACACAGGGGCTGACGCAGCTGGCATCCACGCCTCCGATGGACGGGAGGTAGGCGTGGTGGAGGATGGGGAGCTGGAGGGACAGCCGGCGCTGGATGCTGGGCAGGGAGAGAAGAGAGAGGGGCGCGGGTTAGGATGGGGGGCTGTGCGCCGGGGGCTCCCCACACCTTCCCGCTGATGCAGGGCAGGATGCACGGCTCTCCTGGGGGTGCCAGCTCTCCTGGCATCTCAGAGCTCAGAACAGATGCAGTCCTACGGGCACCGGGCACCGAAATGACCTGGGTGAGGAGGGGTGGTTGGTCTGGGGGTGGGGAGGGGGAGGGGGAGGGGGAGGGGGAGGAGGAGCTGTCGTCCTATGCTTCTGGCTCAGGATCTGGGGTGGTTATACCCAGGATTTACTCCTGGCTCTGCACTTCGAGATCACTCCTGGTGGTACTCCAGAGACTGGGATGCTGGGGATCAAACCTGGGTTGGCAGAATTCTAGGCAAACTCCTGACCCACTGTACTCGCTCCAGCCCCTAATTTATTATTATTTTTTAACGTAGGTCAGTTCTATGCTGCCTTCAGCTCCTGGTTCTGCCTTGCCTGGGAGCTAACCTGGGTGGTGGTCATTGGTCTGAATACCCGCGGGTCCCAGAGACCTCAGCAGTTGGTGACTTAGTCCCGGCTGCCCATTGCTCACCTCCTCATGTTGCTTTTAAGCCCTGGACTTTTCTAATCTCAGCTTCCGTCTGCTACAAACTGGGGAGAACTCAATATGTGCTGTGGGAACCAAGCTAAGGGCGCCGTCTAGGGCCTGGCTTGTAGGTCATCTTCTCATCAACCCTTTCCTTGGAGCTCAACTGCAAAAGCTACTCCCTGATGTCTTTCCTGGATTTATCTTATTTAATCTGGCGCTTTGCTTTGAGAAGTTAAGGAATCGTTTTCCCAGGTGGGATGTAAGCGCCGTGCAGGGAGGCATCAGGGCCTGTTTTCTTCATGGGAGCCAGGCCTGTGACACAGCCTGAACCATCCAATAATGGTTCTTGGCAAGGCCTGTTTTTTCTGTGTCCCAAAGGCTACTGTGGTGAAGGGCTCTAGCACTCAGGTGTGAGCTCTGGGCTTTATGTTTTCTCTGTGGTGTGGGCCTTGGGATTTCATCTGTACCCCAGGCTGCTGCAGGACCCAGCAGGTCAGGGGACGAGAGGAGCCCCTGGTGGCCTCCTGGGCAGTGGACACACAGTCCTGGGCAATGATGCTCATGGAGGAAGTACTCACTGCTCTGGGGAGTTGATGTCTTCTATCGGATCTTTGCAGGTCCGAGAGGGCTCTGTTGTGCTCCACTGTAGCTGGGGATTTTGATCGAGGTGATTTTTCAAAATGGCCTTTCCCCCATCTAAAGGAAAAAGAACCATGTCAGGACCCATTCTGCTCATTTATTTTTCAAAACTTAATAGTGCAGAACTGGAATGTTAATACAGAGGGTACGGTGCTTGAGTTGCTCATGGCCAATCCGGGTTAGAGCCCCATACCCTGTATGGTCCCCTAAGCCCTGCCAGGAGTGATTCCTGTGATTCCTGAGCACAGAGTCAGGAGTAAGCCCGGAGCACTGCTGGGCGAGGCCCATTCTCCGCCCCCCCAAGGGAGAACCCCCCTAAACCAACCAAACAAAAACACAGATGAATGAAAGGATCAATTCCAAAGTTTTTAAAGGCAAGTTTTGAGGAAATTAAGACGCTATATATACACTGCCATAGAAAGAACACTCAAATAGGAACCCAAACGACAAACTATAAAACCCACCTTTACTAATTTGCATGGAAATCGCACCCCAAAGTCCTTAAAAGTTATACAGGCTCCCCATGTTGTTTTCAAACAAAAAAGCTTTAATTTAGGAAGCAAAATACAATAGTTGATAAGATGGATCAGTTCAATTTTGGGGGGGCCACACCCAGTGATGCTCAGGGGTTACTTCTGGTTCTGCACTCAGGAATTACTTCTGCTTGGGGGACCATATGGGATGCCAGGGATGCCGGGTCGGTGTGTGCAAGGCAAACACCTTATCTACTGTACTAGCTCTCTGGATCCAGGATCAGTTCAATTTTATTTTATAATTTGGCATAGAATGCACTCTTAAAACTTAGACTGGACATTTCAATTGATAAAAGGAAGACACTGTTAATATTTGGGAGACTTTACTCTACCCACGAAATTTACCCCAGTGGTTTTATTTCAGCTGGATAACTTGTATATAGTTCATCCACAAATAACTTCATAATTTTAACTTTAAAACCCCATCAGTACTTTATTCATTTAAGTATATCCCAAAGTGGAAGTATAACTTCAATGAGTTTGTTGACACTTACTTAAAAAAAAAAAAGAGAAAAACAAATGAACCAGTTAACCAAAGATACAAAAACAGTTGGCTTGAACATGAGGCGTCTATCAGAGAAACATCCTTACCTTAATAAGCAATGGACACTTGATGGTCATGGAAGGGAATGCACACCTGACCCCAAATAGGCTTTGTCATGGCCACCCACTTGACAACAATTTTTATTTTTTTTCTATTTTTTTGGCAGGGGGCACACCTGGCTGTGCTCATGGCTTATTCCTAGCTCTGCACTCAGGAATCACTTCTGGTGAACTCAGAGGATCATATGGGGTGCCGGAATTGAACCTGGGTTGTCTGCATGCAAGGCAAGCACCCTACCCACTGTACTATCACTCTGGCGAAAAAATTAACAGATATTAATTTTCTTTTTTTTCCTTTCTTTTTTTTTCTTTGCTTTTTGGGTCACACCCAGCGATGCACAGGGGTTACTCCTGGTTCATGCAATCAGGAATTACGCCTAGCGGTGCTCAGGGGACCATACGGGATGCTGGGAATTAAACCCGGTCGGCTGTGTGCAAGGCAAACACTCTACCCGCTTTGCTATTGCTCCAGCCCCCAGATCTTAATTTTCATGTTGATTTAATTTAAAATAGCTCCCCAGACTATCTCAGCTAAGCTTTATCTGGTAATGCTGCAAAGTTAGAGGAAGAATCAAAGATGCTACTGTGAAAAACGAAAAACCCTTCGCAGGGTAGAGTCTAAATCATTGAGGAAGTCAAGTCGAAAACTGGACTTGAATGCCTCCTTATCAACAAGCAGTTTTTGCTGACTTCTGAGGAACACTCTTGCTGGTCCCCAAAGCCTCCTTCACAGTGTTTCTTTCTTCCCCTGAGTGCTGCAGCCTGTATGTGCTGTTAATAGCATCTCTCAAGGAGCATCACAGGCTAAAACTGTCAGGAGAACAACACATCCCTTTCAGAAAAGATCGTCTCTTCCAGTTAGGCTTGATGATAATAGGGCCAAGCAGGAAAAGGTGGTTGAGGTAAAAGACTCAAAGTTTTCTTGGGTTTCCAAACATTCCTTAAGACTTCTTTTTTGAAATAGGAGTGGGTGAAACCATCGAGACAGTGATCAGAAAGGCTTGCTGACAAGGAAACGAAGCACCCAGGCTTGCAAACAAAAGCCTGCGACTCCATCCTCAGCCAGGCGCCTGTGTCTCTGTGCTTAGTAGAGACCCTTCACTTTTTCCTTCAAAGCAAAATCTTGTCTGTGGCCTGGTTACAGGGTTTTGACAGCCTCCACCTAACCCCAATCCAGATTTAGTTCAGGGGCATAGGACTTTCCTGTGTCTGCCACGCCTATGTTCCAAAATACTCACGTGACCCAAAAGCACCCAAATACCCTTGGATCACACCTCACAATGCTCCCTCCCTGCCCCACCCCAAAGTTCTTGCCTTCAAACTAAGTATGTCTGGGTCACCTTGAAAGAAAAACCCACCAATTTATCATCACTCAAGAGACTTCCCATTCTTCAGCCTACTAAGATGTCAGTTAATTCATAGATAACTTTGAAGCCTTGTGAATGAAAGGTGCCATACCCCACCTCTGAAAAGCGATTATGTTTTAATTGGGAGCTAAAAATGACTAATACAGTGAACCTGAATGAGAGGAGTAGAGATTCTAAATGAATTAGTAGGGAGTTTCACTTTGGAGTCAGTGAGAATTTTTCTCTTGGGCAGGTTAGTAAATCTTCCTTGGAGAAACGGGGCATCTTTGGATTATTTTTCTTTTGGGTGGCTGTTTTCCCCCCTTATTAATCTGTATAGAATTATAGCTACTTTGCATATCGTGACATATGGTTTCTTCTATTTATAAGAAAATTAGCATAGTACCTGAGCTATATTTTTTGGTTTGCTTTGATTTTTTTTGACAGTTTTACATTGCTGAAAAAAATGTTCCTTTGTAGTTCAATTTATCTTCCCTCCCCTTTCCCGCACCTCCTCTCTCCTCCCTGCTACTCCTGCTGGCGGAGGGAAGAGTGGGAGTGGGATGGGGGCAGCTAAGGACGCTGACATGACCTGGGACCCCGTGTCCCAGGGAGACACCGCTCACCTGTGCCTTCGGTGAAGTTGCCCAGGCTGAGGATGTCGTTGAGTTCTTGGTAGTGGTTCTGCTTGATGTAGGTGGTTTTCTCGGGTGTGTCCTGCAGCTGCATGGTGACCTCTTCCAAGTCTTTGTCCAGCTGGAAGACAAAAGGGAAGTCTGAGTCCTGGCCCGGCTGCCTGCACTGCCCTGGGGATGCAGGAGCAGGACCCCAGCCCCCGGCCAGCCCCCCCCCCCCCCCCATCCCTGACACACTCAGAGCCAAGGGGAAGGAATGTGGAGGCGTGGTCAGCTCTTGTCCCAGGACCAGCTGAGATGAGATGGGGGCTGGGCTCAAACTGAGGCGGAGACCACAGCAGGTCAGACTGATGACATCTGCTCGCCGGAGAAGGGACCCAACCTTTAGGGAATTTTGGCCGGTAGCTTGGCTCATGGGTTCCTGACATGGGTGAGTGGGCTACCCGAAGAGGGGGCGTTACTCAGAAGGCTGCGGGCCAAATGGGGCAGCAGAAGGCTTGGGCAGACAGAGACCTTCTAGAGGTTGTTCCTGTGGCAAACTGGAGTGGCCACACCCCGAAGTCCTCAGCTTTCGCTGCCAAGACACCATCTAATGGATCCAGGTGACCACTAGATGCCCCCAACACAGTCAGATCTAGCAAACCAGCAGCATACCAAGGGTGGGGGTGGCCAGCCTGGGAATCAGGGTACTTGCTGTGCAGGTGGGTGCTTGGTTTAATCTCCAGCACGACACCTCTCACACACTCCCCTGGGTGTAGCCCTGAGGGGACCCCCGCCCCCCCCCCCCCCACACACACACACATACACTGCAGACCCAGCAGCATCATTGTCTTGGGTTAATTATGGGCAAAAGTCTGCCCCCACCTGGGTGGTAGGTAACCCATTGCCTGGGGACTGTCCCGCCCCCACGCTATATGGGACCTCCTCAGACCAAACATGCTGGGGAAGTTGTTGGACATTCAAACCGAACCGAGCATCTGGTCTCACCAGGCGCCTCTGACTTCCTCCTTGCCTGCTCCTGTCGGGCGCAGCCTATATGCATTTCCAGACCTCCCCAAGGCCTGGGGCAGCCATGGGTGTGTACCAGCCTGGTAAGGCTGGTAGGGAGCTACGCAGCGGGTGCAGGCTGAGGGGATGTCCCAGCTGGTGGGGCTGTGCCGAGACAACAGGTGTGCCATTTCAGCACCACTGTGTGGCAAAGCTGCGGGGTCTGAGGAGCGGGCAGGAGAACTGCTGGGGAGTGGCCAAAGGGAGCGAGAAGGACCCTGGCAGCGAGGGGGAGCAGAGTCGCCCACAGCCTTGCGCCGCTCTCTCCTTGGGACCAGGAGGTATGGGGACTAATTGCAGTTTCTTTGGGCCACGTTATGGTGGAGTCTCCTGGGGACAGCAATGTGACTAGTGTCTCCCCAGGACTCCTTTCCTATCCCGCTCTCTGAGCCTGGAAGGGCCGGAAACAGGAGGTAACTGGCCTCCCCTCCAGGAAGCCCGGGATTGGAGGACTGGCTTGGGCACAGAGGAGTCTGGGGTTGGCCTCTCTGGAACATTCCACAACTAGTTCAGGGCTTTTCAGCACTGAGAGGCGTTGGGGAAAGTCCCTCTTCTCTCCTTCCTTTTCTGCATAGGGTGGGAGGGCCTAGAGGTGGGGGGTGGTTACCGGGCTCTGCTAGGAAGGTGGAAATATGGGGCACACACTTGCTGTATCTCACTGCATAGTTGCCGTACCCCTTTTATAAGCAATCTGTCTGTCTGTCCTCCCGTTGTTCATCGATTTGCTCGAGCGGGCCCAGTAACGTCTCCATTTTGAGACTTGTTGTTACTGTGTTTGGCATATTGAATACGTCAAGGGGAGCTTGCCAGGCTTTGCCCTACATAAGCAATACCAACACAATTAAAAAAAAAACTTCCCATAATGATTGCACCTCACTTTTTTTTTTGTTTTGTTTTTGAGTCACACCAGCAATGCACACAGGTTTACTCCTGGCTCTGCACTCAGGAATTACTCCTGGCGGTGTTCAGGGGGACCATCTGGGATGCTGGGAATTGAACCCGGGTCAGCTGCGTGCAAGGAAAACGCCTTATCCGATGTGCTATCACTCCAGTATCACATCTCACTTTTTTATGGGGAAAAATGTGGCATCAAATCTGCAACAATTACACAGTGAAATGCAGTCATGAATGTCTTCAGCCTGGGATAACTCCATGAACCCCTGAGGATGTTTTATTTTATTCAAAAATTTTTTTTTGAATTACTGTGAGATACACAGTTACAAAGTTGCTCACGATTGAATTTCAGTCATACACTGCCTTCCCATTGTTCATCGATTTGCTCGATGAGCAGAGACCAGTAACGTCTCACAACAAATTGTGAGACTTGTTGCTACTGTGTTTGGCATATCAAATATGTCACAGGGAGCTTGCCAGGACATATCAAATATGTCACAGGCTTTGCCGTGCAGGCGAGATACTCTCAGTAGCTTGCCAGGATCTCTGAAGAGGGACAGAGGAATCAAAACCGGGTCAGCCTTACCTGCTGACCGTTCTGATAATGTTCTGATAATGTTCTGACAGCTGATCCTTCACAAGTATACATTTCCCACCACCAATGTCCCGAGTTTCTCTCCTGTCACCCAGCAGCCTGCCTCTATGGCAGACACTTTTCTTCTCTGTCTGTGTCCTCTCTGCCTCTGTCTCCCTCTCTCATTTTCCCGGTTTCCTTTTAGGTACTGAGGTTTGCAACACTGTTACTGAAAGGGTATCATGCCCAACACTTTCCCTCCTTTCTGGGGGGGGGGGAGGGGGTAGAGGAAGGGGGGAGGGGAGGGGGGCAGAGAAGACCTGTAAGGGCAAGCAGGGGCAGGCCGTGGGGAGGTCACTGGGATGAGAGGCCCCTTGCCAGTGGCCACTGCCCTTGGTCCGGGTGGGCTGTCCCAGGGGTTCCCGCGGGGAGCCCAAACCTCAGTGATCTTCATTCGAAGGCGGTGGTTCTCCGACTGCAGCCCCTCCAGCCGCGACGTGCTCGCCTGGTTCACGCTGGTGACTGAGGTGGACGTTTTGGAATCTTCCTTCTTCTGGTTCTGCGTGAACTGGAACCGTCGGTTCTGAGTGGCGGCGTCAGGGTTTGTTCTGAGCGTGATGAGCTGGAGGGACAGAGGCGGGTTGGAGAGCAGCCCTCACCCGCCCACTCGGCCGCTGCCTGCAGGTATGGCCCTGGAGGCCACCACCGGGGTCACCCATCATGGTTGGGGGCGTCCTGGACACGGGACGGTCTCTGCCACTGGCTCAGCTGGGGTCTGGGGCTGCTGCCCGCCCCTTTCCCCTCCTTCCCTTCCCCCACCAGGGCCCAGAGGCCCCCACTCTCTGAGGCTGTTACGTGCCCCTCACCACCCACTGCCCATTCCCCTGTGTTACGAAGACAAGGAGCTGGAGAAAGGCAGAGGCCTCTGTGAGAGCCCCTGAGGGGTCTAGGGTCAGACTGGAGGTGGCACTCAGTTTTTAATTTTTTTTTCTTTTTGGGTCACACCCGGCGATGCACAGGGGTTACTCCTGGCTCTGTGCTCAGGAATTACTTCTGACAGTGCTCAGGCGACCATATGGGATGCAGGGAATTGATCCCGGGTCGACCGCATGCAAGGCAAACACCCTACCCGCTATGCTATAGCTCCAGCCCCCGGAGGTGGGCCTCAGTAACACAGGGATTTGATGTCCGGAAACAGAAAGCTTTTACCCCACCTGCATCTCACTCCTGTTTCAGGCGCCCCAAAGAAGCTTCTCTGGGGGGGTGTGAATCTGGCCTTGCCCATGGTGATGCGGATGGGGTGGACTCAGGTGGGTTCCTTCGGCTGTGGGGTGTGCCCAGGGAATTGGGAAGGAGAATGGCACGGCCTGCACAGATGGGCCTGGGGCTGGGGCACTTCCGGTCAGCTTGGAGAGTGGACAGAGTTTCTCTGGGGAGTCTGGAGGAGGGCCAAGCCCCCAAGCGCCTGTCTAGTGCTGTGGACTGGGTCCTGGACCGAGGAGGGCCCTGAGCTGTCACAGTGACAGACAGAACAGAGAGGTGAAGTTCCTAGCTGGGGCTGGAGGGGATCTGGGGTCAGGGCTGGTGCTGGGCGGGTGCTGGGTGGGGGTCACAATCAGAGGACAAGGAGGGGTGTGGAGCAGGGCTATTCCGGATGGTGCTGACCCCGCTCAGGGGCAGCCGGGTGGGGGCTGGAGGCCCCGGGAACATTCTCGTCTCTCTTACTTGAGCTGCAACTCCTGTTTCCTGTCCCTTCCTTCCCTCTCAAGAAGCCCGGGGTCAGCTTCTGCCTTGCCCACCTGCTGTTGGCCAAACAGCCCGATGAGTGCCCCTGAGCAGGAAACGTCGGGAGCTGCTCTAAGTTCTGATTCCTTTTGACCCACTGATGCTCCTTCTGCAGCTCTGTTCTTTTTGGCTTTCTGTTTTTGGGGCCACACCAGGGATGCTCAGGGCTTACTCCCCTGGTTTGGTGCTCAGGGCACCCGATGGGGTGCCGGGGATCGAGCCTGGGGTCTGCTGTGCGGGAGGCAAGCATCATTCCCCCATGCTTACCTTCTCTGGCCTGGGAAGTCTCTCTTAAGGGAATGATCGGAAACAAGTAAAACGGGCTCTGGAGGGAAAAGGTTCATTTGGAACGTAAACAGATCTGAAAAGGACAGGGGTGCTTGGCAGTGAGGAGAAAGGCCAGGGACAGACCAGGCTGGGCGCCAAGGGTGCTGGAAGGTCACTGCTGTCTGTCTGCATGAGCCTGTGGCCGGTCTCACAGTCAGGCAAAGGTTGGGAGAGAAGACGGAACCGGACAGGGAGATCTCAGGGGCTGGGATGGTGCCAGGGCACGGCCTGCCTGGCGGACCTGAGTGGGGCCCAGAGTTTGGTCCCAGGCACTGCCCACATACCCAGGGTGATTCTGGAACCACCCTGTGTCACCCCCCCCCCCCCCCCCCCCGCCCATGACCACTGCCACCAGATGCACCCTCCAGCCCCTGCTGATGGCTTGAACAAGAAAAATAAAAAAGGAAAGCGAGGGAGGAATATTCAAATCTTGGTAAAACCCAAACATTCGTGGACATTATTTCTGGGTGGTGGTGGTGGTGGGGATCACCTGCTTCTCACAGTGGTGCATTTTCTTGCTGTTCTGTGAGGTGAATCGATTTCACCGAGCACGGCTTAAACACTGCAGGAAAGTAGGGTTTGTGTGTGTGTGTGTGTGGGTGGGGGGGACAAGAGAGAAGCAGAGAGAAAGAAAGAGTAAGTGAGAGAAAGAAGAGAGCAAGAGAGCAAGAGAGAGAGGGGGAAGACAGAGAAAGAGAGAGAGAGAATGGGAGAGGGAGAGAGAGAGGGAGACAGAGAAAGGAAGAGAGAGTGGGAAAGGGAGAGGGGAAGAGAGAAAGAGAGAGAGGGCGAGGGAGAGTGGGAGAGGCACCCGTAGTCCCCTGAGCATACCCTCGAGCGATACCCTCCTCCCAGCCACGGGGTGTGGCCCAGGAGCCAAACCCAAGAGGAAGAGGAGGAATCCAGCAGGGCCATGTGGCTGAGTGGGAAGCCAGAGCCAGGGTGGGGATGGGGTGGGGAGGGGGTACCTTGGGCACGAACACCAGGCAGAGGGTGATGGTGCTGCAGAAGATGATGACCAGGGCCACGATGCAGAACTGCACGTTGGGCTGGTCCCGGGTGAGGAAGGAGACGGCGGCCCCGATGATGCACATGATGCCCACGTTGTAGACACTCATCCCGATGTACTTGCTGTCGTTGAGCGCCGGGATGCTGACGTTGCGGGTCTCCCAGGCTAAGAAGCAGCCGAACAGCTGCAACAGCCAACGAAGGAGGGGAGGGGGTCAGGAGCGGGCTCCCGGGAGCTGCAGAGTGGGGGTTACTCCAGAGGTGGAGAGGGGCTGTCTCCGCGTGAGTGTGGGGGATACGGGCTGGGGGGCTGGGGGGTGCCACCCGCCTGGTTCTCCTGTGCCACCACCCCATGGTTCGCACCACTGGAGATCACAGCTCTGCAGATGTAGAGGCCCCGTGTGAACCAGATAGGACCTGGTTCACTCCGATTCTCTAAGATAGCCTGGAACCCAGAGAGGGTGGGGGGATTTGCCCAAGGCCACACAGCAACGTGACGGCACAGCTTGGGGATTCCACATCAGACTGTTTTCCATAAAGCCTGACAGCCTCTGTGCTTGGACATCCATGCCCCACAAGGGTTGCAGGGACAGAAGCAATACTGCCCAGCCAAGCCTGTTTTGGGGGACCTGGGTCACAGTCACAACTTTGTTCCTCGGTCGTCAAGGAATGGAATGAGTGTTCATGGAATGACACTGATTTCAGCTGAGGATAGAGAAACTTCTAGAAACTTTTCTAGAAAACAACCCATTCCTAAGTGTTTCCTCTCCAAAATGCTAACATTTGACTTCTTTTCCTTCTTCTTTTTATTTATTTTTTGCATTTTGGGTCACACCCAGCAATACTCAGGGGCTACTCCTGGCTCTGCACTCAGGAATTACTCCTGGCGCTGCTCGGGAGACCATATGGGATGCTGGGAATCGAACCCAGGTCGGCCACGTGCAAGGCAAATGCCCTCTCTGCTGTACTACTGCTCTGGCCCCCGACATTTGACTTCTTGGAAACTGTGAGTGTGCTTTCTTGGGGGAAAAGGCACTTTGCTGATGTGATAAACTTTCTGGAGAGGAGATCATGCTGGATGGTCCAGATGTCCCCAAATTCAAGGACATGCGTTCTTAAGAGAGGCACCTGAACAGAGACTTTAAGAAAAGACACAGCCATGTGAAGACAGAGGGAGGGACTGAGGTGATGCAGCCACAAGCCAAGGATGCTTCAGAGCGCCTGGTACCGGGGGAGGCACGAAAGCTTCTCCCGCAAGCCTTCTGCAGAAAAGTACAGTCCGGCCTGGAGTCCAGACATCTGGCTCCAGAGAACACATTTCTGTTTTCTTCTTTCTTTCTTTCTTTCTTTCTTTCTTTCTTTCTTTCTTTCTTTCTTTCTTTCTTATCACACCCAGCGGTGCTCAGGAATCATTCCTGGCAGTGCTCGGGAGACCATACAGGATGCAGGGGATCGAACTCGGGGTAACAGCGTACAAAGCAAAAGCCCTACTAGCTGTACTACTGCTCTGGACCCCAGTCCTGGGGTTTCTTAAGCTATCGAATGTGTGTGGGAAGGTACTAGCATAGCGTCAGGAAATTAATATGCCACCCATGGTAGGCCCGGGCTGCTTTGCAGGGCTGAGCTGGCCACCCCATGTGGAAGCAGTGAGTGGATGAAGATTTGCTGGGGAGATAGGGTGGGCTGGAGGGCCCTGAGCACTCCCACAGTCCTGAGCATCTGGTTTATGAATGGAGAGGGTGGGGCGGGGGCGGCTTTTACCACATACCCTGTGGGTTGGAGGCCGAGGGGGGTGGGTGGTGCAGGACCACAGCTGGATCAAACACTGCAGGTGCTGTGTCCAAGGGGTGATGATTTGCCCTGACATGATGCCCAGTCTCAGGAGCTGCAAGGGCCTCAGTGGGTGCTTGTCTAGCAAGTGGGGATGTGCCCACTCGCCCTCTACACCTTCAGGTTTAGAGAAAAGCCCCTGGCAGGAAGGAATAGGCATTGGGCACTGGGAGAGACAGGTGGTGGGACAGGAGGGGGTGGACCTGTGGGGTCTCCGTGGGTGGAGACCTTGCCCCTCCATTCATCTCCTCACTCCACTTTATTTTTTCCTTTTTTGGCTATTTGGGTCATACCCAGTGATGCTCAGGGGTTACTCCCAACTCTACACCCGGAAATTACTCCTGGCGGTGCTCAGGGGACCATGTGGGATGCTGGGGATTAAATATGGGTCGGACGCATGCAGGGCAAACATCCTACCCACTGCACTATCACTACAGCTCCTTCACTCTACTTTTTGATAGGGATATTTATTTTTTTTTGCTTTTTCTTGGGGGGTCACACCTGGCGATGCTGCACAGGGGTTACTCCTGGCTCTGCACTCAGGAATTAGCCCAGGAGTGATCAGGGGACCATATGGGATGCTGGGAATTGAACCCGGTTCGGCCGCATGCAAGGCAAGCGCCCTACCCGCTGTGCTATTGCTCTAGCCCCAGATAAGGCTATTTAATTTATTTTTTTTTATTTTTCTGAACTTTGTGAGTGTTTTGTAGATGTTGGGTCTTCGTCCTTTCTCTGAGGAATTGTGTACGAATATCTTCTCCCGGTCAGTTGGGTATCTTTTCATTTTGGTCCAGGTTTCTTGTGCCATGAAGAAACTTTTCCACTTCCCATTGTCCACATGCTTATCTTTTGTTTCCATCCTTTTTGCCAGTAGAGTCAGGTCACTGAAGACCCCTTTGGTGCCCAGATTCTGGTGAGTTCTGCCTTTGTTTCCTTAGTGTAGTTTCTGGCTTCATCTCTCGGTCTTTAAAAAACTTTGAATTGGTTTTTGTGTATGGTGTGAGATAGGGCTTCAGTTTCAGGACAGGAGGTGACACGGGGATGAGGGGAAGGTCGTGGTACCGTGTGTGTGTGCACGCAGTAACTTTGGCCCTCAATGCCTTAATAAGCTTGAACACTACTGTAACCCTATGACCTCAACTATAGTAATAAAAAAAAATAGATGGAAAGAACCTTGACGGTCACTAGCTTGTAGCTGAGTAGTCTTGATGGTCACTAACTTGTAGCTGAGTAACTTGATTGTCAATAGCTTGTAGCTGAGTGATTCTGGGCCATGGGAGCTTCCAAACCCTTGCCAGTTCTCTGTCCTTCTCTCTCCTGGGGTTGGTGTGGGATTGAAATAATGCGAGGCAGACATCAGGCTTGGCATAAAGTAAGTGCGTAGTCAGGGTGTGTGTGTATGTGTGTGTGTGTGTGTGTGTGTGTGTGAATATGTATGTGTGTGCCTGTGTGTGACTGTGAGCATGTGTGAGGGGGTGCAAGTGTGTACATGTGTATGTGTGTGTGCATATGAATGAGTGCATGTGTGTATGTGCTTGCATGTCCGTGAGTATGCGTGTGTGCATGTGTGTGAGTGCCTGTGTGTGCGTGCCCCTGGGGAAGCTGTTTATTTTTATGTTGACGGCGCTCCCTGGAGGGAGTGCTCTGACAAGAGACGAGCCTCCCTTCCCCCGCCTCTGTTCCACACCTACCATGAGAAGACCCTTGTAGGCATAGACGATGCCAAGCCAGATGGTCATGTGGGTGTTCTCACAGTGCTCCAGGAGGGGGCGGATGGAGATGTCCCGTCCTGCTGGGTCCGGCTGTGCAAAGAGAAAACAGAAACCCGGGAACAGCACTGAGTAACCCTCAAAGCAGCAGGGCCCCATGGGAGAGCCCGGGGCCCTGTCCAGGAGCTCTGGCCAGTGCCAGCTCACCAGCCCTGTGACCTGGGGCAGGCCACAATCAGTGTTAGCAACCTTGTTTTTGGGCTGAGGTTCAGCCCCACACCCCAGCTATCTGCATTCTTGACACATTTCTAACTGGAGTCAGAGCACCTGAAAGTGAGGACTGAATCACACCTGGGCCCCAAGAACCAGACCTGGCCTGGAGCAGGCATCAAACAAAAAGAGCTTGAAACTGAGGGATAAATTAGGTCTCGAAGGCATCCAGGAGATACCATGTCCACTACCAAGCCAAGAATGGGGCCAAGTATACCCTCCTAAAGAGGTCCTCATGCCTCCATGGAGGGAACCCTGGGAGTGGCCACGGTGTAGACCACATGACTCTCCTAGACCCGAGCTGACTAGGCAAGGAGTGGGCACCTTTCGCTTGGCGGCCAATCCAGAGGCAGAGCAGATATCTATGAGGTTTCTAAGTGCAAAGTGTCCTTCCCAAAGAGGGGTGGTGGAGAGGCCTCCCTCCCCAAAGGTGTTCTCTCTCTCTCTCTCTCTCTCTCTCTCTCTCTCTCTCTCTTTCTCTCTGTCTCTCTCTGGAATCTAAATAGGAAATTCTGGGAGAGACTTAGAGGAGAATAAGACACCCTCTAAAGGAAAATATACTGTACTTGCAATTTTTTTGGACCATTTGAAAGTAAGTTGCTGGTACCCCAATCCTTCATCCCTAATTATCTCTACTGTATGTATTAGTAGAGATATCTATAACCTTATTTACTCCCCGGACTCAGGAAATGTGACATGAATACAGCTAATCCAATATATTGCCCGTTTCCGATCACCTCTCAGGCACCTCTGATTGTTTCAGACAGGATCTCAACCAGGACCACAGGCAGCCTTTACTTCTCATATCTCCAGTGTTTAATCTCAAGGAAGGCCTCAGCCCCGTCTGGCCTTTTGTGTCATGTGTTGCAGAAGAAGCCAATTATTCTCTGGGATATATCTTCATTTGGGTTAGCCTAAAGGTTTTCATCAGATACAGGTAAGGCTTCCCCCAGGTGATATTCTGGCCTCCCTAGGGCTTCACATGGGGGCACCAGGAGGCCCTCTGTTCCATTTTGGGGGATGCTAACCGATCACTTGACTGAGGTGAGCCTAGCAGAGCTTGCCACCTGAGAGGGACCATTTCAAGCCTGCAATGAGTTGACCATCTTGGGGAGACACTGTGGGGGTGTGTGAGCGTCCTGCTCCCCCCCGCCTCCCTGCTACCGTAAACTCTGAAGTCCAGATGTACATGAAAAACTCAACCTGAGCCATGTTATTTTGGTGACTGCGAAACGGTGGTTTCCAACTACCATTCTGATGAAATACCCCACATTCTAGTGGAAAGGTAATAGTTCCCTCCACTTGTTTTGTTTACCACTATGGACTCACAGCTGCTTCTCTAATTTGATGTTTTTATTTTTTATTTATTTTTTGCTTTTTGGGTCACACCCATCGATGCACAGGAGTTACTCCTGGCTCTGCACTCAGGAGTTACTCCTGGCGGTGCTCAGGGAACCATATGGGATGCTGGGAGTCGAACCTGGGTTGGCCGCGTGCAAGGCAAATGCTCTACCCGCTGTACTATCGCTTCAGCCCCTAATTTGGTGTTTTATAACCTACTACTATCCTTGTTCCTTTTGGTGTTTATTAATTTATTTTTCAGAATTGATCAGTGGAAAACCCCTTCATGCCTCCTGTCCTTGTCATTTCTCTGAGCAAACTTGTCCTATTTCTTGGCACAAGATGTTCCAGGCTCTCTTTGAACTTTCTGGGCCCCAATGTAGGCACCAGCTACTTCTCTTCGAAATCAAAAGAAGCAAGTGAAAAAGAACCAAGAAAAGGACCTTGGTTCTTTCTAGTGGGTAGCGGTATCTGCCTTGATTTAGAAATCAGGGTCTGGGCACTAGATGTGCTCACTGGCTGTCCTAGGGTTTCATTCATTGTTGCCACGCATTCATCTCTCTCTCTTTCTTTCTCTCTCTCTCTCTCTCTCTCTCTCTCTCTCTCTCATATTTACATCCACTGTCATTGTCAATAGATATAAACTCCAACGCCAGGGAGTCTATATCTGTGGAGTTGCCTCCCCATTCATATTTACATTTCCTCCCCCCATTGACCTTGGAGCTTCTAACATCACTGACACACACTCATTACCCCAGTGCTATCATCGACACACAGTGAATTCTGAGTGACCACCCCAAGTCTGCAAGTTGAAGATTCCTCTGAGAATCTGTTTTGCCTTTAGTACCGACTCTCCTGAGGGGTTCTTTTCCCGGGTCCCAAGTTCTGGCAAAGGGGTCCTCTCACACCCCTGAGAGGAAGGAGTGGCATCCCCAGAGCCTGTCAGCAGTGGGCTGCAGAGATATGCCCGGCGGCCCTCGGGCAGGGGTATGAAAACCCGGATCCTTCTGTCCCTGCTCCAGGGTCCCTTCTGTGCTCGGCTGGGGCTCCCCTGGAAACGGGGGCAGCCGTGTCACAGGGCCATGGGCTCAGGCTGTTTGAGAACCTGATCACCCAGGCCTGGCCTTTGCCGCCCCCCCTCCCCGCCCCCACCTGTCCCCACACACACCCATTGCTTGGTCTCCTTGGCCCACGCATCACTGACCACCATGCAAGTGCCACGCTGCAGGGGGCAGGGCAGGGTCCTGTGTCTCTGCCATAACTGAGGTGGGTGCGGGTGGTGACATCGCGAAGGGGGTGGAGCATCAGGGAGCTGCCCTGGAGCTCCGCCCTCCACGGCTCTGTAAGGGGCGGGGCTTCCCCGTTGGGAAAAGAAGCGAGGACTTAGCCCCCGAGTTAGGGGGCACTCAGGGACAGTCTAGCTTTCTCCGATGATGAACACTTGGGCAGCGGGCAGAACACACTATGTCCAAGCATGAGCATCAAACCCATGCACAGTGGTGACTGTGTGTGTGTGTGTGTGTGAGAGAGAGAGAGAGAGAGAGAGAGAGAGAGAGAGAGAGAGAGAACAGACACTGAGGAGCAATGGGACCACCTGTGGTCCCCTGAACACCATCAGGAATGAGCCCTGAGCACAGAGCTGGTAGTAAGCCTTGAGCACTGCTGGCTGTGAGCCCCCCCGCCCTTGCCCTCAAGACGGGCTAATCACAAGGAAGGAATCTGGGGTTCTTGATGGAATCACACCCTCCTTCCTCATCATGAGTACTCACTCCAGGGGCCATGGAGATGGGTTGCCTGGCCCACGCCCTCCCCCCAAAACCCCTGCTGCCCCCTACTCTCACAGAGCTGCTGGCAGTGTCCTGGAGCACAGCTGCTCCTCCTGCACCTCCACCCATGGTTCCCCTCTGTAGGTTCCCCCAGGAATCTTCATGCAGGCCCCCAGGAGGGGCCATGGGCTGGGCAGCACTGCCCCCGGCCCCCAAGCACACGTGCTGGGCCCTCCTCTGCTCTGCAGGCCTGATCAGTGCCTGCACCCCTGCCGGCTGCCCACTTGCTCCCTATCGTCTCTCCGACTCTTAAACAACAACCCCAACCCTGCCCACACGTCCCAGCTACAGGCCCGCCTGGTAGTTGGCGTCCAATGCCCCGCTCTGCCTTCCCCTTTGTGTCCTGGGCTCACCAGCCTGGTTTCTTTCTTCCTTGTGAGTGGTTAAGCAACTCTCAGCCCTCCGCAGTGCATGCCTGCTATCCTGATGTGCTCTCACCTCTCTGAACCCCCAAATCCCAATCCTCCCATTTAGGTTTGTGGTATCCAACCATATCAAGGAATTTCAGCAAACCTCGGCCTTCGAGGCAAAAGGCAGCAAGAAACTGCAGCCCACAGAGCACAGGAAGTTGGTCAGACAGGAAAGCGCCGCCAAGGACGCAGCCCCAGCCCATGTACACCAGAGGGCATCAGAGGGCTGGGCGCTGGGTGCTTGGGTAATGGGGCTGGGGGCTGGCAAAGGCCCCCCCCCATTGTTTTATTTCGATTGTTTCTTTTTTGGGAATCACACCCATTGATGCTCAGGGATTACTCCTGGCTCTGCACTCAGGAATCACTCCTGGCAGTGCTCGGGGGACCTTATGGGATGCTGGGAATCGAACCCAGGTCGGCCGTGTGCAAGGCAGATGCCCTGCCCGCTATGCTATCGCTCCAGCCCCTCGATTGTTTTTTTTTTTTAATTTGGGTTCACACCTGCAGGTGCTAGGTTGTGGTGGTGATTTACTCTCAGAGGATTATATGGTGCTGGGGATCAAACCTGGAGCTCCAGCAGGGGTGGAGCGGGGAGAGAAGAGGGGTTAGCTTAAAGGACTGGAGCCTCAGGTGTGATCCCTCAGCACTGGATCTTAATGCTAATTGCATGAGCCTGGTTCTTTTTTCCCCCGACCCCTCCTGAACGTGCCTGGAACAGGAGCTGCGAGTGGCCTAAGGAGTCACAGGCAGGGGGAGGGAAGCGCCTGAAGTAACAAGAGCATCCCTTGTGACCCCAAAGCCACTTATTTGGTGTTGTGCACCGGAGCACCACTAGAGGGCACCAGAGACCAGTGAACAGTGCAGAAGGCTATTAGCCTTCCGTCCAGGGCTATTAGCTCACCCTCTCTGCTGGGGACACAGCCTTTGGGGTTCTCTGGAGCACCCCCTCTGAGAACAAGCTCTTGTTAAGGAGGCCATGACTAAGAACTTTAATCATGTTTTTTTACGTTACATTCTTGCTGCTTACCTGAACAATTAGGTATCAGTTATCCACCCTATTTACCCATCCATCCTTCCATCCATCCATCCACTCATTCATCCACCCATCTATCCATTCACCCATCCATCATCCACTCATCCGTCCATCCGTCCATCTGTCCGTCCGTCCATTCATCCATCCATCCACCCACCCGGCCATCTAATCCTTCTTTATACCTAAACCCTCCCTCTGTCCAGCCATCCTTCC